GCTAATTCCTAACCCAGTTATTCTGTGTGCCATGTAAATATGCAGCTTTAATTAAGATAACTATAGTAGACAGAGTAAGAGACTAAGACTCAGAAGGTTTGGATTTGAATCTGTACTCAGTCATGTAAACTCGCTCGGGTGTGGAACTGATGAAAACGCTCCTTAAATATCTCACTTAATATTAATGAAAACTCAGGGTTGCTTTAAATCAGTTCTGACCTGAAGGCACATAACAGTAAAGCATCAATTTAACCATTTGAAATCCAGTAAGAGGCACTATAACCAGTTTTTGAAACATATGTTTAGTTTATCAAGTTGCCTTTCACATCCTTGCAGTTGCAGCTTTTAGTCAAAACAAACCTGCTTATTGTAGTTTGTTTTGCAAATACACAATTGAAGCAAGTTGCTTTAAAATACTTTATGGTCAATGAGGAAAAGAATAAAGAGATCTGTTTTATGCTTTGTCTGGACTTATTCACTGTAACTCCACAGCTTAGGCGTGTGGATCTTGCTGCCTTTTGCTCTCTAAGGGAAATTGAGAGGAGGAAGACTCCTCTTTTCTCCTCACAGTGAAGATTTCTCTGTGCAAGATTTTTTTTTTTTTTTGCTCCAAGCAATTTCACAGGGAATCTTTCCTAGGTTTCTTTGTCATTTTTCCTGGAAGAAATGTCACACTTCAAAGAACAGCATATTGATCACACAGGATTAGCTGGAAAAGGCCTTAAGACACATAGGATTTGGACAGAACAATGGGGAAATCAAATCAAAACAAAATAATACATAATAAGCTGAAAAATCTCACAGAAGCAGAGGAGAAGTCTTGACAGCAAGACTTAGGAGCATGCGAATGAACAATTTGGCAAGCACTTGTTACATCTAGCTATATGTTTGCTTTGGTTTTGAGTAACATTTTGGAGAGATTTGACTCATTTCCTTTTCAACTTTCCCTTTGCCAGACCTCATGTTTTTGAGGGGCTTTACTTTTGAAGTCAGACACAACTGTGCTTGACTGCCACAAGAATTTTCTACTTGCATTTAAATGTAGCCTGATATCACTAAGGCCACTGTTTCGAACCATTCAACACTTCTGTCTTATGGTTGTTGTAGGTTTTTCGGGCAGTCTGGCTATGTTCTTCCTAACATTTCGCCAGTCTCTGTGGCCAGCATCTTCAGAGGACAGGAGTCAGAACTCTGTCTGTGCTCTGGATGTCACTCAGTTCTGATTCCTGTCCTCTGAAGATGCCGGCCACAGAGACTGGTGAAACGTTAGGCAGAAAAACCTCAAGAACACGGCCAGACAGCCGGAAAAACCTACAACAACCATCAGATCCCGGCCATGAAAGCCTTTGAGAAGTCTCCTGTCTTACATTAAACTCCGGCGCTACTTAGGATTAAAATCAGGTCTACTCTCCTTTTGTCAGTTCTATGATTAGCTCTGTAAAGGACAACCATTACCACACAGCAGGGCTGCTATATCCACAGGATCAGTACCTGTGGTTTCACTTATCTGCTGCTTGAAAACATTATATACCCCCCCACTCCTGAAATACAAGTTTCCAAGATGTATTACCAGAACTGGCTACTAGAGGAGTTTCACATCTGCTGCTTGAAAACATTATATACACGCCCACTCCTGAAATACAGGTTTCCATGATGTATTACCAGAACTGGCTACTAGAGGGAAACAATGCACTGTCTGTCTCTCTCTCTCTCTCTAAGATTTCCAACATACGCAGGCAAGGAACCAATCCCCCATAGATGCTATGATCCTACTATATCTTTTTTACTGCTTTCTAGTAACTAGAACATGAATTTATCCAGTCTATACAAGGGTAATTGGTGTCAACCATGGTCAAGTGTCCAGGTATAATTTCAGTTCCTAACAGAAAAAGTAATTTGTAAGTAATCTGCTTTTTTAGATTTTAAATGTTAAAATGTGACCACATTATGAAGTGCTACGGCTGAGTATACATAGTCCGTAAGCAGGAAATTGTTAGTTGCAAGGCAGCATAAACTTTATTAAGGAGTTTTAGTGCAAGGGGATTTATTTATGAGATACTTTAAAAAAAATATTCTTCATGGATTTTTGCTGGCAGACCACAGATGAATACTCCAAAACCAGAAACGGGCCATTTTGTTTTACCTATAAGGACTTTGTGGTGTGCTGTAAGATAATGAATTTGGTAGTGGAGTAAGAATGACGGCATGTCTGACAAGTTGCACTAACATTCAGTTAGCAAAGCCAAAGTCAGATGTCTCTTAGAGGAGTGGGTGAGTTCATTGCTATTCTAAAATGGCCAGCCCAGTTTGGGTCAACAGATATCATCTCGTACAGTATTTGATATCCTGGGTATAATATTTCTCATGCTTCTCATTCTGAATAATGATACGATTACACTTTTCAAAAGAAAAGCAGTCCAGATAAAGAGACCACATAATCCCACCAGAGCAATGGATATACCAGACAGCCTATCTTACCAACACTCAGACACTACTAATAAGAATACCCTGCCCTTGACCTCCATTGTTGTTGTTGTTGTTGTTTATTAAATTTATATACCACACCATCTGGCCACCAGGCCACTCTAGGCAGCTAACAACAGTATCAGGAACAATATTAAAACATGATAAAAATAAATTAATATATAACCAAATCGGGTAAATTAAATTAAAACATGGCTGTTGTGGGTTTTTGGGGCTCTTTGGCCGTGTTCTGAAGGTTGTTCTTCCTAACGTTTCGCCAGTCTCTGTGGCCAGCATCTTCAGAGGACAGCACTCTGTGGTAAATTAAAACAGATGGCAATAAAGGTGGTAAAAAGGGATGTTGGTATTTGTTTTATCCTTTCATGTTGGATTTTATTGCTGGTTGCTTCATTATGGTTTTAATTTTGTGTTACATTTGATAGTGTCCATCGCTTAAGAGAAGTGCATTTTTTAAAAGCAAATAACAAAAATCATTACTGCACAAACGGAAAAAGCCATGGGCAGTTGCATCATGTTTTTCCCCCAGAATGGTTCAATATATTTACAATTAATTTACAATTAATCCAAACTGTATACTCAGTGAATAAAGTATTCAACATTGTTCCCCTTAACCCTTCAAATATAATCATCTGAATCTGTCCATATTATTCTGCATATGCTATGGATGCTAATGGTACTGTGTAAATAACATACCTCCCAATTTAGCATAAAACTCAGACAATTCTGTCAACAACTGCCTAGAAATAGGTATCAAATCCAAGTTTTTCAGATTAGACATACATAGAAGTATGCTGTTTGTTCACCATGCATTTAACACAGACTCATCATTGAGGAATGCAAACTTTTGTAATCAGAGAGGGGAAAAATACATTGATACTCACTGTAACACATTTTCTGCAATAGAAGGAAGACATCATTACCATGGATTGTCCCTTCTACTTGCTCTTGTATACAGGAATGTTTAAGTCAATTTGCCCTAGCTATTCTCTAGTGGAGGAGAACCACCGAGAAATCCAAACCTTGTGATACTGATCACACAGATTCAAAATAAACAGATACAATTATTAAAACATTTTTCTTTTCTTACTGAAGATATCACACCACCACGGAAAACCACAAATAGCCAAAGCTATTACATGCCTACTGAAAAGTCCTACTGTATTTAAGATGTGCTCCTAAATGAAATGTCAAGAGTTGTAGTCTAAAGTAACAATTCTATGAGTGTACACAGGTTGTCAACTCTTACGTTATGTATTCCCAAGTCTTAAAAAGTTATGTATTACTTTTAATATGCCCCCAACATTATTTTTGGTGTTTTACTTGTGTGTGTATGTATATTATATATACACAGTGGTGTCTCACACAACGATGTTAATTGGTTCCAAAAAAAATCAACGTTGTGTGAAACATCGTTCTGTGAAACACCATTTCTCATAGGAATGCATTGAAAACCGGTTAATCCGTTCCAATTGGAACGGATTGCCATCGTTCAGTGAAAATCCCCATAGGAAACATCGTTGAGTGAAACAATGTTTCCTATATTGGAATGTATTGAAGCCGACTCAATACATTTCAATGCCTTTGCGAAGTCCTTTTTCGCTCCTGTAAAAGTGTCTTACAATGTTTGGACGCTGTTTTAAATGATTGCAATGGTTAGTCCACCTCCTGAAACCTATGCAAACTGATTTTGGTGTTGTTCTGACACTTCGTTAATTTATGATGATTTTTTGAATTTTCTCCATTGGAAACCATTGGATGGTCTGTCTAATGGTTTCCAATGGAAAAAAAAAATCATCATAAATTAACGAAGTGTCAGAACAACACCAAAATGCATTCTACTCACCACACCAAATTTCACAGACCATAGAATGTCCTTTATAACTTAGGTATCTTTCGAGACTTCCAAATGTAATCAACAAATGAAATCCTTTAATCACCGGCCCAAGTATCTTTTGCTACCTGCACTCTCAGAGAGCTACTATTTAACCACCAAATCCATGTATATCTAACATCAGAGGCTGAATCATATATTGTTTCCCTGAAGTATTTTCACTATGTTGTAACATAGTCTAGGTGCCATTTACTTATAACAAAAGGATGATATGAATATCATTTGAATGAAACAACTTGGATGATGCAAAGTAATTGGTTAAATTAATTCATTTACGCAAAAGTTTGACTTATAGCATAGTACTGCACTAGTTGTTGTTCAACATTGTTCCGACCATAAAATCTAGTTAAGTGCCATAAAAACACTCTCTAACTAGCCTCTCAGTCTAGTTTTATTTATTTATTTATT